TGTCCATTTAATCCAATTTATATATGAAAGGAATCCCCACTATAATGTGTGATGACATAATCATAGATTTGGTGCTAGAAGGGACCTTAGAAGTCATATAGTCCAACTTTCCCATTTTAAAAATTAGGAAACTGAGGTTCATAGTGGTTAAGGGAATAGCCAGGATCATACTAGTAGCAACTACCGGGGATGTAAGTCAAAGCCAGATATTTCTGACTCCAGAGGGCTCTAACATTTCCTGCTAGGGAGAAATATTCAAGAGAAAATCAGAGGAGGTAGGATCAAGGACAAAAGTAGCCGAGTTTGTCTTGACAGGGAAATGAGACACCTTTTCTTCAGAGACTAAAGCAAAGGAAGAGAAGCCAGGTGAAGACAGGCAGTTTTGATTGTAAATAGCCTCAATTTTCCCTGTAAAGTAGGAATCAAGGTCATCTGCAGAAAGTGAATGAGTGAGTGAGTATGATGAGTGAGTAATGCATGAAGGGTTTGAGGAGAAAAAGAAAGATTTGAGACAGCCACTGTTAAGAGTATTATGGTGAAGAGTCAAATGGGAGGAAATAAAAATATTGTGATGCAGCAATGATGGCCTAATTAAGGTTAGAGAACTTAGGTATAGATAGCCTCTATTATCACAAAACATTTCATTGATACTATTTTTTTTAAATCTGAAAGTCCACTATAAGATAGAGTAGATATTATTATCTCTGTTTTATAGACAGGAAAATCAAATCTCAGAAACATTAAGTGACTTACTCAACATCACACAACTGACATGACCAGAACTCAAACCTAGATGTCTTGACTGTAGCATTTATTCTTTCTTATCTTTTTTTTCAAGAGGAAAAAGAGATCTACGCTCCTTGGGCTTCTGCAGACTATGGATCAACATAATGCCCTACACTTACAGTCCTTAAGAGAATGCACAAAACAGCAATGAAGGGAGATCATTGTAGTTCCGTAAGTTCCTTGCCACCAAAGCCTTTTCTGTGTTTCTTTCTCCCTTCTTTTCTTTTCTTTCTTCCTCCATCTCTTTACTTAGTAAATAGCACACAGCAGGTGCTTAATAAATGCTTGTTGATTTGAATTGAATTAGGGACAATAAACATAAACTCTTCATTAACAAATTTTGTTTATAGGCTTGGAGTAACTAATGCCCCTGAATAATCTGTGTCAAAATTTTATATAGGCTGGAAGAATTGGTTATTAGCCAAATAATTAATCCACTTAGTTTAATGCTTTAAGGGTTCCTGTTTTCACTGGTCTGGGTGCTCCTTCAACTGACAGATCACAACTCCCTAAGTAAAAGAACTTCTTGGTCTTTTGCAACACCAAATAACACAAGAATACCTTTTTGGACAGCTCTTAAACTGGGCTGATCCATAGATGACAGACATAATTGAGTTTCTAATTGAAGACTTTGAAGCTCAGCAGTAGGACCTGACTAACTGGCATTATACTGACAGCCTTTGATAAACCAGGTTCACCTCCAGGCATCTGAGAAGAAAATTCAGTGGTAACAATTAGCCATGCTAATAATTTGATAGCCCATACACCAAACATTCACTTTTCAATCTTTTGCTTTGTTGCAGACCCAATTTTAGCTTATACAGCAAAAGAATTGGCAATAAAGCCCTCCATGGGAGTATAGTGTATTTCCTATAAAGAACCATAGATCTGCAGTCAGAGGACTGGAGTTTGAATTCTGTCCATTTCCCTTGAGTGACTGGAAAAAAAAATCATTTCCACTTCCTTGACCTCAGTGTTTTGTTTTGTTTTGTTTTGTTTTTCATCTGAAAAAATGAGGGAAATAGGTACTAATTTCTTGGAGGTCATTCCAGAAGAATTTAAGTGCTAGTTTGACCTACCAAACCAGAAAGGCTTTAACTATGGTCCCATTCATGCACCATTTATCTATCATCTATCTATCATCTGAGTAGCAGCCCAGATTAGTACACAGAAATGTTTAGTACCATGTTAGTAGTCGGAAGGTGAGAATTTTTTTAGCTAAGAGAAATACGGGAAGATCATTCATCCAAATATGTATAAAGGAGTGTTCTGTGTTGCATGGATTGTCCATCCAGATGAAATAAAGTCAGGAAGACTCAGGTTCACAACCCATCTCCTTCAAAACTACATAACACATATTGATATTATATAGTTTTTCTTTGTTCTCTTATTGGAAAGATTTTTGTTCAATTTTAGGTTTTTTTTTTTTACATTTTGAATGGACAGTGATTTTATCAGTGCCACTCTTATAGATCTTATGCTTCTTCATCCTGTGAAATTGTTCTCCATATACTTCCTGAAAATCTCCACAGTGGATACATATAGTGTGCTGAAGGACTTTGTCTCATCCTTCCAAAAAGTACTGGGGACCAGTGCAGCAGTCTGAGCCAGTATTTGTCTTTAATTCTGGAAACCCCATTATTTAGTATAATAATGACACAAATAACTCACTTATAAGGGTAGGGTTCTATTATTTATCCCACCTACCTAAAAGTAATTATTTTTGTTAGCCATCACACAGTCAGAACTGAGTGTGAACAGGGACTATATTTCTCCTTGAATCAAACAAAGACATTATGTGAGTAACTGAGTCAGCCTAAAGAATTTGAATAAAAGGAAGAAACTATTTAACAATCAAGAAGAAAGGTTCTGAGAGTCTGGATTGGAAAGGTTGGGGCAAGCATGGCATTTTAACACATCTTTGAGGAGACAAGTTAGGCCTAAGCTGTGGCAGAGAAGGGAGGTGTCGAGGATAGTCATTGGGCCTACATACATCTCAAAAGCACACCCAGTCTAGGGGGAATCCCAAGAAAAGGTCAGTTTTTTCCCAACTTCCCTTCACGATGTTGATCTATTCACAGACATTGTAATATAATCTGCTGTCTTGTTACCCAAACTTTGCAGTAAAATAAATTTTACCTTACCTACAAAGAAGCCAGGGATTAAAGATGAATATAAATGTGAAATTAGGCAAAGGGCCCAACCTCTGCTTAGGTGTTAGGGATTTCCTTAGCTTAGTGGACTAAGCTTTTTGAAAGGAGGACCTGCTTCTTTATCTTTCTTTGTACTTAGTACAGTGCTTGGCACAAAACTGGTGCTTACTAAATATCTGCTGACTGACTAACTGAGGGCTCAGAGATATTCTGACTGAACTCATAACTTTATTTCTAAAATAAATGCTGTGAAGCCAAAGAGGAGGGAACCAAGTGAACCTTAGAGGCTATTACATTGCCCTTAAGCTTAAAATGGGTTAAGTGTTGTAATAGGTATTATTCATATACTCAGGCTGAGAATATTCTGAGGCCTTCATGTAAACCTAAGCTACTGAGGGTATAACCCAGTCTCTCATAAAATGGCTTTATGAGATGTATAGGCCTTTTTCATACTCAGTTCTGAGTGTGTCATTCAATTAAAAAGTGTTCTTACTTATGAAAATTAATTACTTTTAAGGAGATGTGATGATGAGGACAACTAGGTGGCACAGTGGATAGAATGCAGGGCCTGGAGTCAGGAAGACCCATCTCCCTGGGTTCAAATCTGGCCTCAGATACTTACAAGCTGTGGGACCACGGACAAGTCACTTAGCCCTGTTTGCCTCAGTTTCCTCATCTGTAAAATGAGCTGGAGAAGGAAATGGCAAACTACTCTAGTATCTCTACCAAGAAAACCCTAAATGGTTTCACAAAGAGTCAGACATGATAAAAATTACTGTACAACAAAAAGGTGAGATAATGAATTCAGCACCACCTTTATAGGTGATTTATCATTGCAATTATTACACCAAAGGTTGGAGCCACTGGAGTAAAAGTCAGGTAGTCCAAGTGTTGCGCTGATGTTGGAAAGATGAGAGCAAGTCTCTTAGCACACTACATAGAAGACTTGAGAAGTCATCTAGAGATTTTTACAGGATGAGAAAGCTTGATACATGTAAGAATGGTTGAAGTGGATAGAGGACAGAGAGCTGGCCTTACAGTCAAAAAGCAGGACAGATAGGTAGCCTAGTGGATAGAGCTGCATGCTTGGAGTTAGGAAAACCTGAATTCAAATCTGGCTTCAGATACTGAGAAGCTGTGTGACCCTGGACAAGTCATTTAACTTCCATTTGTTTTAGTTTTCTCATTTGTAAAGTGGGGATAATAAAAGTACCTACCTTCCTGACACATAATAAGCTCTATATAAATATTATGGTCCATGGAGTTTTCTTGGCAAAAACACTGGAGTGGTTTTCCATTTTCTTCTCTAGTGGATTAAGGCAAATAGAGCTATATGATTTGCCCAAGGTCACACAACCAGTGTCTGAGGCCAGATTTGAATTAAGGTCTTTCTGATTCCAGGAGCAGCACCCTATCCAATGAGCCACCTAACTGCCTCTAGACCCCGGTATAATAAGTGATGAGGCTAGAATTTATTTTAAGATCTGACTCCAAGACCAATACTGGCTGCTACATCATTCTGACCTCCAAAGTCAGTTTGTCCATAAAAGCCCTTTTAGCCTCAATTTTGCTGAAAAATAATAATATTATCATTATTTCAACCATACCTACAAGATATGGATTACATTATTTCCATGTCTAGAGGACATAGAACATGTCAAGCTATATAAAGTTGGTAGCATTTCTGTTTAGGTTTCTGAATGAATGTGGTTTGAACAGACATTAATTTGGAGGAACACATTCATTGTATTGGATTAGCTACAATGCTAGATTTTCAGCCAAAGTCCCTGGGTCTAGGGCCTTGTTTTTCTCAGTAGTCTCATCTATAGAATGAGATAGGTTGAGATCAAACCAATGTCTAATTGTTTTTAATGTCACACTCACCTTTGTCAGGCTACTGAAGCCTAGAGACCCCCTCTCAAAATAAAGCAAATTGTAAAAAAAAAAAAAAATAAATAGGACTCAATTATATTAAAATGCAATTTTTATTTTTTCCCCGAAGAAACAAATTCACAGACTCCAGGTTAGGAGACCCTGGACTAGATAATCTTCAAGGGCCCTTCCAACTCTGACATATAATTTTGCTTTGAATTTGATGGGATGTGATATCAACCAAGTTCAAAAGACCTATTGTCCTTAAGAAGAAATTATTTGTCCCCTGGATAATGGATGTGAACATGGGCTATGGTGCAGTTTAGTTTTCACAACTCTGCCCTCCATTTGGAGACCTCATACTCAGTTCCAGAGAGATTTTCCAGTTCCAGGGAGGTTTTCATATGTGATGACTTCATTTGCCGGGAGTTTGTTTCCTTGCTTTCTGCAGGGTGCTTTGTGGATGTATGTGTTTGACTCTTTGACATTATAACACTTTGCTATCAAGGAAGCTACAATAAAAAACAACAATGAAAACATTGACTAAGTATGTTTGCAATCAAATATATCCCTCAGTAATTTAATTTGGAGGCAACAGAGAGCATAGCATTCTAACAGAGGGCTCTTTAATAATTCATAAGTCTCAAAATGGGAAAAGTTGATGCTGAGGCTTAGAAGAGCTAGAGCTCCCTTCTACTCTTAATTACTCAACAGCACATAACAGAACCTCAAAGCTAGGAAGGACTTTCGAATCATAGAACAAGAGAATATTGGAGGTGAAAGGAGGTCTAAAATCACAGCATGTAGAATGTTCAATTTGACTCCAACCTACTTTTCGAGGCTTATTTCACATTAATCTTATTCAAACACTCCATGTTTGAGTCAGGCTGGTTCACTGTTGCCCGTGCATGGCATTCAGTCTCCTGCCTCTGATTCTACACAGGCTATCTCCCATGCCTGGAAGGCACCCCGTCCTCTCTTTACTTCAGAAAACCTTTTACTTTCTTTAACAGTTATTGAAGTGCCACCTGCTACAGGAAGTTTACCTTGATTCCTCCAGCTCATAATGCCCTCTCCCTATAAATTACTTCGATTGTGTACCTATTTTTATATTTTTTATTTTAATTATCTGGCTGCATGTGTATTGTTTCCCTGCAAGGGAATGTAAACTCCTCCCAGATGGCAGAAACTAACATTTTTGGCTTTGTATTTCTGACATGACACTGACAACAATGCCTAACACATGCTAGATATTTAATAAAGACTTCTTGAGTGAATGAAAAAATCTTCTAGGGACCTTAGAATAACAGAACATGGACAGTGAAACTAGAAGAAATAGCAGAGAAAATCTGGTGGAATCTTGTCAGATATCTCTCCTACAATTTAGAATACATACATAAATATACACATGTGGATATATAAATATACATGCATATGAATATATATGTATATATACATATATCTCAAATAAATGGTGCCATTCCATATCACTATTTCATCCAGTATCACTGCTTATCACTATACATCATGTTCTATATCACTTTTGTTCAGTCATTTTTTTCAGTCGTATCTGACTTTTCATGACCCTACTTGGGTTTTCTTGGCGGAGATACTGGAGTGGTTTGCCATTTCCTTCTCCAGCTCATTTTATAGATGAGGAAACTGAGGCAAAAAGAGTTAAGTAACTTGTCCAGGGTCACACAACTATAAGTGTCTGAGGTCAGATTTGAACACAGGAAGATGAGTCTTCCTGTCTCCAGGTCTGGAGCTTTGTCTTCTATGACACTAAGCTGCCCCCAGGGCAGGTTACTTAACCTCTGTTTCCTTCAGTTTCCTCATCTGTAAAATGGAGATAATAATAGTACCTGCCTTCTAGGATTGTTGTGAGGATCAAATGAAACAGTAATTGTAAAGTGCTTAGTACAGTGACTGGCACATAGTAAGAGCTGTGTAAATGTTAGCTATTACTATTATTATTATTATATGTAAAAGGAGAATGCAATTTGTTTAGCATGATTTTAAGAAGCAAATGAAACCATAGTTGTAAAATGCTTTGTAATAATGAAGTAATAGATCAGTGCAGGTTTATAGGATCTCAAATTTCAGATAAGAAGGGATGGGGCTTAATAATCAAATGCCAACCCCACCTTTTCAAATGAGGAAACAGGCTTAGAGAAATGACTTGACCAAGATCAAATAGGTAGTAAATGGGAGAACTAGAATTTGAACCTAGATCCTTTTATCCTAAAATCCAATGAACTTTCCAAATACTGTTATTCTTCCACTGAAGCCCTTTTTCAAAGCATCTTCATGGTATACAGTCCCCTACTAGGGTTCTGCTGAGAAGCTGGGTTAACAAAATACAAGCTCTGACAATTTGTGACGAGATAAAAAAGTCTTCAAGGACAGGTACAGTGATGAACCAAAAGTTGTCCAGGGGCAAGCGCACATAAACATCAAAATGCTCATCACCAGGTTGGCCACAAGGTAATGTTTTTGTTTTTGTTTTTGTTTTTTTCCCCTCTCACCCCTCACAGTAACTCTGGAAGGCCATCTATTAAGTTGTTAAGTGAGTGTTATCTATGTTAACAGAGGGAGTGCCCGTTCCAGTAGAATTACAGTGGCTTGAAGTATCGTTATTTATATCATCATCATTATTATTAATATTTATGGTTTTCTCAAGAATCAGCCTCCCACAGAAGGACTAGATTGACTCTTCTAATGGCAGCAAACTAGCTGTCTGAGATTCTGACATGGCTGAAAGCTGTTTGGATCCTTCTATAATAAACACAAAAGAGTCAGTCAGGTCTTATTTCATCCTGCTTATACTATAATACTTCTATATTATATATGTATATATGTATATGTGTGTATGTATGTATGTGTACATGTATATACACAATGAACACACACGTGCATATATACATATACGCATACATATATACACATATGTACATACACACACACATATGCCTCTGTAGTATCTGAGATCTCAGTTTTGTGGGCACTCCAGCGGTACAGATTAAAACCCATCCAACTCTTTTACGCTGTGTACTTTTTGTTTGTTTTCCTATCAATCCTCTTTAGACGTTCTACCCAGTGCAATAGCGGCTTCTCCATAATTTAGGGGTTCTTAGCCTTTTTTTTTCTGTCATGGAATATTTTGGTGGTCTGATGAAACCTATAGACTCTTTCTCAGAAGTTTTTTTTTTTAATAGAGGAAATGTTACATTTCATTTAAAGGTTAGTGAATATAATAAAAACTTTTCCCCCCATCAAAGTTCACAGACCCCTGAAAACCTATCCATGAACCTCAATTCCCAATTAAGAACTCCTGATCTGATTATTGTAATATTTTGTTTTATACTAGTGCAACTTGATGCAATCATCACCACGTTATCTACAAATTAAAGTATTTGGAGGACTTCATCATCCACAGGAAATCTCTTTAACTTTAATCCTATATTGGATATCCTTCATGACAATGGCAATGAACACTTTTGGCTATCACTTGTTTTCCTATCTTATTATTTGCCCTGATATTTTTGAACAAAGGGTCATCAAGCAAGAATATCTCTACTATTATATCTTTCAAGATATCTCAAATAATTTTGATGCATGGAAGGGAGATACCTCATTGGAAAACACTTTGCTCTGACAAATCAAATACTTTTTAAAAAAGCAACAAACAGTAAGCAAGTGAGATGTTGCATCCTTCACAGATTCTAACCAAATTGGTAGTGATAAAAATGTAGTTTTCCATGGAATATTGCTTAAAAATCTTATCTGGTTTCTTCTTAATACTCTTAATAAAGGGTGCTGGATGGTTTTCCAGAAAGAGATTCATAACCACTCAAAAGAGTTTGACCAACTTTCCACATCAAAAAAAAAACCAAAAAGTGGAAAAAGTATAGCTATTTCTCAGATGATAGACTTGTAGATTTAGAGCTGGAAGTGACCTTAAAAGATACTGAGCCCAATCTCATTTTACAAACTTGGCCACATTTTGGTGACTAGACAGAAGTACAGTTGGGTCTCAGATTCAGTTCTTCTAATATAAAATCACATAAGGTCTTAGACTAGAAATTATATACCATCAAGTTCAAATTCTACAGACTCACAGCAAAACTTTTTACAGCAGGCACCTGCTTCAATGTTCACACTAACCCTCCCTTACGTTCATATTCTATGTGTGTATGTATGTGTGTATGTATATGTATGTGTACATAAGTGCATATATTTCCTAAACATTTCCCAATTACATATAAAAAAGTTTTGACATTTATTTTTTTAAGCTTTTAGTCTCAAATTCTCTCCCTCCCTTCTGTCTCTCCCCCTCCTTCAGAAAGGAAAAGAATTGATGTTGATTATACATATGAAGCCATGCAAAACAAATGTCCATATTAGGCATGTTTCAAAAGAAAACACAGAAAAAAACCCAAGAAAAATAAAGTTAATAAAAAGCATGCTTCAATTTGCATTCAGGCTTCATCAGTTCTCTCTCTGGAGGTGGATAGCATTTTTCAACATCAATTCTTTGCAATTGTCTTGGATCATGGTCTTGATCACTGGTTAAGCCTCACAGTTGATCATCTTAACAATATCACTGTTACTGTGCACAATGTTCTGGTTGCGCTCGTTGTACTTTGCATCAGTTCATATAAGTTTCCCAGGTTTTTCTCAAACCAGCCTGCTCATCATTTCTTACAATGCAATCATATACCACAACATGTTTTGCTATTCCCCAATGATGAAATCCCCTATATATCCAATTCTTTGCCACAAAAGAGCTGTTATAAGTATTTTTGTACATATAGGTAATTTTCCCTTTTCTTTGATCTCTTTGGGATACAGACCTACTAGTGATATTGCTAGGTCAAAGGATATGCACAATTCATATTATAGCTCTTTGGGCTTAGTTCCAAATTGTTCTCCAGAATGGTTGGACTATTTTACAACTTCACTAAAAGGATATTAGTATCCTAATTTTACCATGTTCCCTCCAGTATTTATCATTTTCCTTTTCTGTCACTTTAGCCAAGCAGATAGGTGTGAAGTAGTATCTCAGAGTTGTTTTAATGGGCATATATCTAATCAATAGTGATTTAGGGCTTTTTTTTAATGTGAATTATACTGATAGCTTTGATTCCCTCTTCTGAAAATGTCTGTTCATATCCTTTTTACCATTTATCAAATGGAGAATGATTCATATTTTTATAAATTTGTCTCAGTTCCCTACATACTTGAGAAATAATGCCTTTATCAGAGAAACTTGCTATAATTTTCCCCCAGTTTCCTGTTTTCCTTCTAATTTTGGCTACATTAATTTTATTTGTGCAAAAGCTTTTTAATTTCAGATAACCAAAATTTTCCATTTTACTTCCTGTGATCCTCTCTTTCTCTTTTTTGGTCATAAACTCTTCTCTTATTCATAGATATGAAAGGTACATTTTTGTATACTCCTCTACTTTACCTATGATGTCACCTTTCATGTCTAAATCATTTGTCTATT